GGACACTCTTCCAAGGTGTGGAGACGTGTTTGACCTTCATGTAAAAATCGCCTTGTGGAAATAGGGGGTTAGAGGATGCTAGATCATAGCAAAGGTTTTAGGCTTAAGTAAAAAAAACCTTTGGAGCAAAAGGGATTCTTGTAAGAAGTCAACATTTGGACCAATATATGAAGCTATCTATTTTGAGCCAAATATTTTCAGTGTCTCGAGAAAAATCGAAAAAAATAATAAAAAATCAAAAAATAGAAAAATCTCAATTGTATATAAAAGAGCGTGCTTAAGCATCATCATTGTTTGAGGAAAAAAGAAAGGGATATAAAAATAATAAAGAAAGAGACATTCCAAATATTAGGCTTCAAAATAAGGCATGTTTTAATTCTTGTAAATTCTCGAAAGCTCGCTCCAATTGATACGGATCCTCTACCACTCGTCAATAAAGCTCAAGGACGCATGGAGAACAACGTAGGAGATCTGTTGGTGCTTCCTAATGGACCGATTACACGAAGCCATGATAAGCGATATGGGGCAGCCATGTCCTTATATGTTCAAGTCCAAATAACACAAGAGCTTCATGGTGTGGTATTTAACAAGTGTTGTGAGAGCCATGTCCTTATATGTTCAAGTCCAAATAACACAAGAGCTTCATGGTGTGGTATTTAACAAGTGTTGTGAGGAACTTGAAGGCATTCCTAGGCTTTTTACAATGTTGGAGGCATGTGCTTATGGTGTCGCACGCCCGTGCTGAATAGCACACCCTGGGGGTGCTAGAGTCTGCCTCTTGTAGCACGGGGGTGCTAGGTAGCACGCCCAGGGCGTGCTAGACACTGACTTGGATGTGTTTTTTTTATCATTTTATGCTTTATTTGGCTTAGCCTCTCTGTTATTTTTGTATGGGCCTTTTGTTAATGGGTCTATTTCATAAAGTTAGCCCATTATGTTTAGGTTTTAGTATAAATATTCTCATCTTCTTTGTAAACAAACAATTTTGATCAAATTGAATTACAGAAATTTCAAGCTTTGCTTATTTTCCTTGCTTAGAGTGATAGTGATTGCTTATTTTCCTTGCTTAGAGTGATAGTGAGAGATTGCTTCCTCTAATTGCATCAAGAATTCTAGATAGACTTATCAACTCGTTTGTGGCATTTATCTAATTCTTACTTCTCAATTATTGGTGTTCCCATTTCCTTGTAAGTGAGGGGTGCCATAGAGGTGAACTTCATCTTGATCTTTGATTCGATCCATCCGATTAGGGGTTCTAGGAATCCCTTTCCTACAGGTTTCGCATCATTCGGTATCAGAGCCAAATCAAAGAATTGAGGTAAGTTCTAGCATCTTAGTTTAGGGTTCATTTCAATTCCTGTTCTTGTGTTCCATATTAGATCAAACCTTCATCTTGACATCTTCTCTTGTGTTGCTTGTGTTCTTGATAAAAAAAAACCAAACAAAGAATCTGGGGAATTAGAGACCATACGGTTGCTTAATAAAAAAAAAACGAAAAGAAGAAAAAAAAAGACCTTAGGTGTGCTCAATTGAAAAAAAAAAAGAAAAAAAATTTATTAAATTGTGGCAATTATTGAGCATTTATAAGCCAAATTGTGGCAATTATTGAGCATTTATAAGCCTATTAAACACTTTGGGGGATTGTTTTAGGACACAAACCATCCACTTATCTCTTGTTAAGGACTATACCCTACCTAAATTGGGTTATATTTTGTGAGATAAGGTAGGACAGAAGTCAGTACACCCGTGCTTCACAACTAGAGCGCCCGTGCTAGGCTCTGACTCTCCATTTCGGACCAAAACCTATTAGCACGCCCGTGCCCTTGATCTTTTAAAAAAAAAAAACTTGGGTTTTCTTATTTGCTTGCTTTGTTTGGGTAGTAATACATAGATCTATATTTTGTTTGCTTTGTGGTGAACTAAATTCATCTATTATATCCAGAATTCGTTTTTCTTTGATTCTAGTTTCTTATTCTTACTTTGTGCTTCCTTTGCTTCTTTTATGTTATTAGGGTGTATTTGCTTGTTTACTACACTCTAATTGTTAATTAAGTAGTACATCGTTCTTGTTCTTGTGCTACCATTCGTCTTTTGTTTGAGTCTTTTTTCTTTCTAGAAATTGAGCTTGCTTTCTTTGTTAAGATTTTATTTCGTTGAGTTAAACGTACTTTGAGATTGGTTGGTTGGCCTGGAATTCTGAAGCACAATTGGAGGATTTGCAAAGAGTGGTAAGGAATGTAAACACATGAGGTAGTGGTTTCTTCACTTTAACCTTACTTCTTTTGTGATTACTTCTTTGAGTACTTGTTGACGCGTGTCTTTATGGCCCCGCATGATCCAATGATGATACGAGGATGTGGAATGAATGGGTTAATGCTATCTAGAAGTATTTTAATCCAAGATAGATGAAAGCAATGAGTTTAGTCTTCGTAATTTGGAGGGCTTAAGGCAAGGGAAGGATGAGAGCTTCTCTGATTATTACAGAAGATGGAGGACAAAGCTGTTTATGGTACAGATAAGGCCAAAGGATCAAGAGCTGATCAGAATAAGCCAAGGATCGAAGAGCTGATCAATGATTTTTTGTCGAAAGTCTGTTCCTTACTTTAGAGGAGAGAAATTGCCTGGCTCAACCCTCACACGACTTTCTCTGGTACATTAAAAGGCTGGATTGAATATTGAAGAGCTGTACAAAGAAGAAGAAAAAGCAAAGCTGGGGGTTTGTAATTAACTGGGTCTTTCCTACAATGAATGCAGAACAGAAATGCTTGCCTGATGACCAGTCGAGGAGTAGCAATATAGTTGGAGCTATTATGAGAAAGTGCGAGGAATTCACTAATTGGGTAAGACCTTTAAGCACGGTTATGAGGTCCTGCATCAAAGAATTGGTGTACTCTGTCAAAGTTACCAATCAATCCATTCTAAAGCCTAATTCAGGGCAATCTGTTGATGCAAAGAACTGTAAGTACCTATCATCAGTGCAAAGGTCATTCTACTGATAATTGCTTCAGACTCAAACATGATATACAAGATTTGATAGATGATGGGAAGATCACCAAGCCTCCTGAGTATAGTAAGCCGATGCCCGAAAATCATTAAAGTTAGCAGTGATGGATGTATTGAACATTATCTTAATTCTGCTTTTTGTTTTTCTGAATGTTGTTTTGAGAACAATACGGATGGATTTCCTTTACTATTTCAGTCAATGGGAATGAATTTTGATTACTTGTTTTCTTGTTTCTCCTGATTGTTGTGTTCATGGTATTGAATATGCCATACGCATATTTGGCATAAATGCATTTCATCATTTTGCATTTAACCTAAGCACCGCCGAAAATCCCAAAATAATCGAAATCAGATCGGACTTTAAGCTTGAGCTCAAAAAGGATCTCGTCTCAAGAGGAATTCAGAAGTCTTTGCCAGGAGTTATGCTAATATGTCGGGGATTAACAAGTCAATTGCAGAGCATTTCATCCCTACCGATCAGAATATCAAGCCAACAAAACAGAAAAGAAGACGGGTCAGACCAAAAGTGGCAAGACAAGATGAAGGCTGAGGTTCAGAAGCAGCTAGATGCAAGAAGCAGTTAGATGCAGGTTTCTTGGAGGTAGTGCATTACCCTGAGTGGTTAGCAAACATAGTCCTTGTGCTCAAGAAGGATGGGAGACTAAGAGCCTGTGTCGAATACAGAAATTTAAACAAAACCTCATCCAAAGATGATTTCCCTCTTCCGCATATGGATGTTCTGATTGACAGTGCTGCAAGAATGGGATGTTATTCCATTACGAAAAAAAAAGAGAGCCGAAAGTGGGTTTTCCAAAAAGTCCGTTTTATTTGTTGACTGCCAAATAGGTGGCTAGATTTATGGAGCGGAACATTTTCTATCGCCATGGTGCTCCTCATCACATAATTACAGACAATGGTTTTCACTTCAAAGCAGACGTCATCTTGGAAGGAAATTCAGACCCAACTGGCATGGACCGTTCAGAATTCAGAAACTGTTGGCCAAGAGAGCCGCTGAATTGGTCACTACGGAAGGGAAGCCTTTTAATCGGATCGTTAATCAAGACCAGATGAAAAGGTTCTATGTCTGAGATGATGATTTCGATCAAAATAAAATAAAATAAAATAATTTTCGATCATTAAATGAAAAAAAAGGGGGCTAGGTTAAAAACCCAATAGTAAAGGGTGAACCTCAGGCAAGAAAATGAGCTCGCTAGGTTTGAAAACTCCGTAAATGGGCGGCCTAAGGCAAGAAAGTTTAAGTTAAAAAAAGAGAAAAAAACAAAATTTTTTGAAAGATTAATGCATGTGCTTAGTTAAATGCGAAAATCTTAGTGCCATGCATTTGTGACATACTGTGTGACTGGTTGCTCAATGCCATCAATCCTGACTAGAAGGAGAATAGGCGAATGAGTAGTTAAATGAACGACTATTGTATTAAAGTAGTTTCTCTTACTTCTGAATGATGTTGAAAAAGTAAGATCAAATAAAGAGCTTGATTTCCAAAAAGTTTTCTTTCCCTATTGTTGTCGGGGTATGATCATTGAATTACAAAGACCTTCCTCCTCTGCCAAAATATGGTTCAGCATTTGCTCATTGTTTTGAAGATTTTTGGTTGTTGATTCCTGCCGGAGTGTTTGGATCTCCTAGACGACGCAGTGGAGGTCAAATGCTATTTTCTTAGTGTTTCCTTGGAAGGATCGATAAAGAAAAACCATGAATAAAATCTCTAAGCATTTAAATAGGTTCAATAGCATACATGAGGGAGTTGCATATTTTTATCTGCTGAATTGTCAGGTGATAAAATGATCACCCCATTGTTTTTTCAATAATTAAGTTTCCTGTCCTTAGTTTCCAAAAAAAAAAAAAAAAAAAAAAAGAAAATCCACTTTAATGTGCTTTCATTTTTAATCCAAGGGCAGGAGGCCCAAATGCTAATCCAGTAGATAATTTCGAAAAAAAAGATTTGTTGTCTCTTGCTGTCTCTAAGTGCAGAAAGCATGAATCAAATAGAAAATAGTGGTGGAAACATGCAGAGATACAACAAATGGGCATTGGGCATCCGAATAAAGCGTCCAAGTCCGTCAAGAATCCATCAAAGCCCAAGTCGGCTTATTCAAGCAGTTTGGAGTCGATGTGCGGCTCGTCTACTTTCAATAATTTCACCTATTCGCCATACAGGGGGCAAACTCATCAAATACCCTCAGGTAGGTAAGTTTTTCTTTCAACACCGCATCAGGAAAAGTATACCTGAAAATTTGGGACTAGAAAAATTTAGCAATTTTTGCTAAAATTTAAAAAAAATTTTTGCATTGCCAAAATTTCAAAATTTTCTCTGCAATGAATAAAAAAAAAGATTTTCAAGGTTTGCTTAAAAGATAATATTTTTGGTCTCGGGACGGAATTCCAGACTGGGGGCAAAAAGTCTTTTGCCCTGATGCAAAATTTCAAATTTCAAAGTTTATGATTATTAATGCATGGGGGCATGTGACGCCCCAACATTTAACAAAGGCGAGATCTGAAGGCGAGATCTGTTTGTGACCATAAAAAATTGCTCTTTTTTCGCTTGAAAGTGTTAACCGTGCTGATCACGAAAGCCCGTTTGGTCCCACCAAGCAGTGGATTGATGTATGTAAAAACTGTTTGGATTCTTTTCTTCGATTCGTGTGATGATGCATTACGAAGCGGATCGAGTCAATTCTTTTCCTGATTAATGATGGTGGATTACGAAGTTGATCAGGACAATCTCAATACCAAAACCCTCTAAAGTCGATTAGACTGAGCTGAGGAGGCGAACAACAAAGCCGATCAGACTGAGCTTTGATGTTTAGATCTTTTTCTCGATTCGTGATGATGCATTACGAAGCGGATCGAGTCAATTCTTTCCTAATTAATGATGGTGGATTACGAAGTTGATCAGGGTAATCAATTCAAATCCTTCGAGCCAATCAGACCGAGCTTTGGAGGTATCTTCAAAACCAATCAGACCGAGTTTTGGAGATCATTACCGATCGATCCCGACGGAGCAACAGAGCCAAATCAGACTTGAGCCTTTGGACCGTGACCAGATGATCAAGATCAATTTCAAGATCAAAATCCTTCGAGCTCAATCAGACCGATGCTTTTTTCCCGGAGGTATCATTCAAAACCAATGCAGACCGATTTGGAGATTGTTTATCGATTTGACTGGAGCCAATAAAAGTCTGATCAGACTGAGCTTTGGACGTGACTAGATGATCAAGACCTCTTCATTCACCCAAGATTGAAGGCGCGTCGGTAGGCGAGGCCACTGTTAAAACATTAATTCGTTTACACAATTAATGATAAAAGTGGGGAGGGCAAACGTTGAACAGCTGTCTTTATGCCACCCCTATCCCAACAATGATGATACGAGAATGTGGAATGAATGCGTTAATGCTATCTAGAAGTATTTTAATCCAAGGATTTAAATTAAACTGATTTTAAGTGTCTGACTGGATCATAGCTGCGTCACACAACTATGTTAGACTACATGACGTTTTTTGTATTAAACGACATGTAGCTCTGATACAGCAAGTAAGCTGCGTCACACAGCTACGCAGCTGTGCTCTGTGACCTACTTCTATAAATAGATCTTTTTCTCACGTTTGGAAAAACTTTTGGAATGATTCTGAAACCCTAAAAAACACGCCCTGCAGCCACATTCTCCTCCAGAAGCTCTTTTGAGTTCGTTTGAAGGAGAATTGCTATTAGATATTAATTCTAGGTGAATCAAAATTCCCAGGTGAAATCAACTAGAAAAAAAAGAGTAGAAAATTAAGAAACTAAAGAAACGAACATTTAAATTCCTTAGTGCCGAAGCTCTGGATTGCCTGAACCCGTTCCGTTTAAGGCGTTAAAAGCATAATACAATCCTCAATCTGAGGCATGTAGGTAATCCTTTACACTTTGTGTGTTTTTGTTTATTGATCTATTCATTTTAGCATTGTTTCAATAAGTTAATCTTAATGGAATTGTAATGTCTGTTCGTTTTTGTTGGTCAATTCGAGGTTGTCCCCTAAAATAATTAAATAAAAAATCTTTAAACCCAAATAATTTAAAATGATTCGGACCAGAGCATGTTGCGTTCCAATCGCAAGCCATTAGATCCGTAAGCGGGAGCTGG